TCATCCACACAATTGTCCAGAAATTAATTGTCGAGGAATTGGGAAAGGTGAATTAATCGAAATAACAACAAAGAGAAACCTGGCTTCGTCTTCATATTGGAGCCGCAATTACAAAGCAAAAGACTCACGAAGAATTGTCTAGTGCAAGAGTTAAAAGTCGAAAAGGGAAAAGAAAAACTAAGGCTAAGGTATCAATTGGACGTGAATTTGGCTTTCTGATTGCTGCCCCCAAGAAAGCAAACGTCTGACACTCAAGAAAAGAAAAGCCAAAGCTGATCCTAATCTAATTGCTTAGGACGTCCCTGTCGCTCTGCTCTTTTTTTTTTTTTTCTATTTGTAGCGCCGCCCTTCAAAAACATTCTAGGAGCAGGGCTTTGTCTAAGGGCTCTGATCCCATATATCTGGTCCACGTGGACCCAACCCCCCCTAGTTGCTCACTTTTTGCTGCTGTCAATCTCGCGGGGCCGGCTTTTAGGTGTAACTTTTCAGTTTCTGGCGTGGGCACGCCATGAAATAGAGAGTCTTTTGGAAATTTGCCTCGTGAAAGCACTTTTTATACCAATCACCTACAATTCATACAAATATGAAATATGAGCAAAACCTCAATATTTGGCACAGTAAGTAGTCAAAATTAAGAAAAATAACAATGCAAAATGTGCCAAATAATTGCTCTATCAAATCCCCCCACACCTAGACAATGCTTGCCCTCAAGCATTTCAGAGCTCAAAAGTGTAACCAAGAGAGCAAAGGTCATGTAGTAATCTATACTAACACAAGCATCTCAGATCCCTAACAATGTTGCCAAAATTAGAACACACCGGACAGGTGGTAATTCAAAGAAAATATATGAATATTAGGAACGCTCAAATCAATATCACGGAATGGCATTACCATAGGCTTGCATATTTATTAAATCACCACCACTCAAAAGTGAACTAAATACACAAATCAAAGGGACTTTGATAGGGTTGTAATGGGGCTTAGGTAAAAGGCGGGATAGGAAGGTATAGATAAGGGGTAATGTGTCAAGAGACTATCCGAAACCCACCATATAACCACAATGCTTCACCGGAGGAGTTTAACAAATAAGGCAGTTACACCTGCTGTACACACTGTACAAGCGCCGCCATTTTTTTTTTATACAGGCAGCTTGCAAGGCGTGGGCACGCCCTGTAAGCCAGAGTCGCCTATCCACTTCCTTCACTTTGCCCCCTTTTTTTTTAAAGGAGAATGTCTTGCAAGGCATGGGCACACCCTGTAAGATAGAGTCTTCTGATCAGCAGCTTGTCAATTTCTCCCTTTTTTGTTCCAAATGCTCAAAGATAGCACCATACAGATCCTACTCTAACACACTTGCGACCCCAGATTTATTTGCCTTGCACAAATGATGGAATTCAGACATCCCTTGACAACACAGGGGTGAACAAGAAAGTCTAAAGAGGTTCTGGGTTATCAACATGGCTAACAAACAAACTCGATGGATAAAAACTCAAATTGGTTTACTATTGGGAGACAAGATGAAGGCATGGTTTTTAGAAAGTTAAAGGAGCTTTAATCCTAAATGCCCTTATCATTTCAAATGCATCCAATTCAACAAAATGTGGTCTCGATATGGACAAAATAGCAAGTTCTAGAATGCCAATACCATGTGTGATACCCACTCAATTAAACAAAAATAGAACAAACAAGAATAATGTGCTCAAGCAAGGCTCAAAAGCTTCCAAAAGTTACAAAAGTGGGTGAAGTCCAGCATACTCAATATTCAACGATATTGCCAAGGAAAAACCAGATGCACAACCAGCATATATGACCACATACTTGTGTACCATGATTGTATAATTCATCATAGCAACACACTCCAGCACTAACAAACATAGAAATGAACAAAAAGCCAACTAGCTACATTGTTCTCATCATTTTTTTCATTTTCTTGTTTTTCGATTTTTTATTATTAACGTACCAAAGCCAAAAGAACTAATGGAAACAAGAGAAATAATGGGAACCACTCTCCCCCACACCTAAAATCGATATTGCCCTCAATGGAGAAATGACCAATGAAGTAGTAGGGGAAAAGGAGAGAAACTTCCCTGACCACCGTGAGAGGGCACCGAGACACTAAGGTGGAGGAGGATGAGGCGGGGTGAAACCAATGCGAGAGAAGAAAGCCGCTTGATTCTCTGCCTGGATACGGGCGAAGACCTGTAGCGCTGCAAGACGGCCATCTAATCTTGATACTTGGGTGTTTAGCTCATCGAAGGAATCTTGGAGGTCCTGGTAGCGGGACTCCCAAACAGGAGAAGCATGATAGGAGGACGGACCCGCCTGATCTGGATGGGGCAGAGAGTCACTGGAGGGAGCAGTCGGAGGAACCCGGTGCTGTGGCCCGCCCTCATCCGGGGGCGTAAACTGATAGACATCTCCTACTTTGAAAATGACCCCCATCCGCTCCAAGCTGCGCAAATCCAGGGGGTCAATTTCCCGAGCTAGAGCGAAGTTGTGCTCTTTGTCGAGGTTAAGCAATCCCAATCGAATGGCCAAATGAGTAATGAGTGAGCTCAGAATCAACGGTTTATTGTGCTTTTGAATGACTGATTGCATTTGAGTAGCCACCCAACAGCCAAAGTTAACCTAAACTTTGTTTCGCATGAACCAAAGAAAATAAAATTCCGCCTTGGTAAGACTGCCGGAGGAATCCTTCCGCCCCGAGAAATTGTGAGCCAAGAACCTATGAATGGCCTTCAAAACCGGATCCTTTAGATGAGAGGCCTTGGACTGACTCGGATTGTAAAGTGGACGATCCGTGGACCACTCCCTCCAAATGTCAATGTACTCAGTAGAAAACGGTTTGGTGTAGTCACACGCACTGTTAATATAGGCTCCGGATGCAATGGTATCCTCACTAACAAACCCTAAAGTCAGATTAAACTCATTAATGGACATACTATACTGGGTGCCTCTTAATCTGAATTGGATAATCTCCAGCTCATCCAAAGTGATGAATTCATTTCGGATGAACTCGAAGGTGGAGTAGAATTCACAACACAGCTCCTCAAACGTAGGGTAGTCAATGATTAAATACTTTTGCCAACCTATTGCCGAGAACAACTGTTCAACTTCTCGTGCAATTTGCAAGTAATCCAGGGTTGGGGCATGAAAGCCCTTACACGGAGCAAAAGGACGGTGCACCAAGCTATTAAACCGGTCCTGCTGTGCCCTTGTAAGATTAGTGATTGGTTCCCCCCACTTCTCAGGAGACATGGTGCTCTTATTCAGGCCCAAATGGGACCGAATGGGGGGTTGAATCGGGGCGCGCCTCTGTCGAGGTTGGGACCCAGACGGCCTAGCAGTTTTGCCTTTTTCGGAGGCATTCGGGGACCACAGGTAGAGTATAATCAATGATAGAGACAGCCAATCAACCATCCAAAAGAGGACAAGGGACCACAGTCAACAAATAATTCTCAATAGTCAGTAGTGGTAGAGCAAAAAGGGAGCACAATTACCCCACCAAACGACGACAAGGCAACAAACACAAGAATTTCCCACTGGCGGCACTTGGCAGACAACAATAAAGAAAACAAGTCACAAATTGCAATAGCAGTCAATAATAATCAACAATCGGCTAGTTACTGACCACGTGTACCAAAATCAGATTCACCAGAACCCACAGATGTAGCAAATCCCAATCCGAGTCAAAGACAGCAATAAAATTTCAAATGCAAAGACCAATTGACCAAAAATTTAGTAAAATAGGGGTACCACTTTTATTTTTTGGTCCATGCTGGAGGCGGCCGTGGTGGTGACTCACGGCGAGAAGGAGAGGGGCCTAAGGACGGCGGCGCGCGCTCATGTGGGTGGGGAAGGACGCGCTGCTGAAGGGCTGTTGGCCGAGCGGGCAGCAAGAAGCTGGCCAACAGGGAAGGCCGCGCGCCCGCTGGGGTGCTACTTGGCGCGCAGGGTGCGTGAGGCTGCTAGCGTCTGGCAAGCGCGAAGAGGAGGACCACGTGCTGCTGGGCACGCGCAGGTCTGCTGCCGGGTGAGAAGGGGGGCGCGAGGGAGCGAGCAGGTTAGGCCTTGGCGTGACAGGTCGCGCGGGCTAAGGCGCGCTGTTTGCTCGCGCGCGGCTGGGCGCGCGCAGATCTGGTCGGCAGCGTGAGCAAGCGGCCCGGTTGCCCGAGTGGGTAGGTGGCGGTGGATAGTGGAGCTTCAGAGTTTGGAGCAGCGGCGGCGGACAGCAATGGTGGAAGCGGCAGCGCGCAGGGTAGAGCTGGTGAAGCGGGCAGATGCGTGCTGCTGATGCACGGCGCTCGCCTGCTGCTGCGTGCTAGCGCGCTGCTGGAGAGGCGCGGGGGCGCGATGGAGGCTTTCGAGGTCGCGCGCGGCTGCCCGATCTGTTGGCGTCGGCAGGCGTGTTGTGGCTCTGTCTGGCCTTGCGGACGGTCAGCGATGGGGGCTGAGGTGGCGTACGAGGACGGTTGGTGGCGGCGGACGACGGACGGCGACGGGCAGCGGTGGGAGATGGCGGCTTGACCAAGACCGGGAGAAGAAGTATTGAATCTTAGGCAAAAGAAATTTGGAAGAGATTGGACAGGACCAGTCAAAGAAGGAGGAAAAGTGGAAAAAGTAAGGTCTTGGTCAAAATATTTTTCTTTGATTTTCGTTATCGGAAGGGTTGGAAGGCGTGAGCACGCCTTGGAGGACATGGTCTTCTGACCATTGCATCTAAATGATGTCCAAAAGAATTTCAGTCAAGGCGTGGGCACGCCTTGGAACTGCTAGGTTCCAATTTGCTCAAGGCACCTGGTGTACCCCTTCTAAGGCGTGGGTACGCCTTAGAATCCCTGGTCTTCTGTTTATCAACACAAAAGCAGTTGAACTAAAGAAATAGACCACAAATAATGCAAAGTAACGAAAAATAACCACAACTATTACTGTAAGCCTTGGGTTGCCTCCCACGTAGCGCCTTTCTTTAATGTCTTTGGTTAGACATGGCCATCAGCTGTTTAGGCCTCACGAGTTGGATCATCAAGAGATATAACCTCCACTTGCTCACTATTAAACCCTTCATAATAAGGCTTTAGACGGTGACCATTGACTACGAACTTCTTCTCCGTCTTCAGGCTTTGAATCTCCACTGCGCCATAATGAAAAATATTAGAGATAGCAAATGGCCCAATCCAACGCGAACGCAACTTACCCGGAAAGAGCTTAAGTCTCGAGTGATAAAATAGGATTTTTTGCCCTACTTCAAATGACTTCCTTGAGACTTGTTGGTCATGAAAAATTTTGTTCTTCTCTTTACAAATTGCAACGTTCTCATAGGTTTCATTCTTTAACTCCTCCAACTCTTGCAATTGGAGTTTTCTATGCCCCTCGGCCTCCATAAGGTCCATGTTACACCTCTTGAGTGCCCAGAATGCTCTGTATTCAAATTCCACCGGGAGGTGATACGGCTTCCCAAAGACTAACCTGTATGGGGACATCCCAATCGGTGTCTTATATGCGGTTCGGTAAGCCCAAAGAGCATCTTCCAACTTCAAATTCCAGTCCTTTCTATCAGGCCGCACCATTTTCTCCAGAATTGACTAAACCTCCCTATTCGACACTTCGGCCTGACTGTTCGTTTGCGGATGATAAGGAGTGGATAATTTGTGGAGCACACCATACTTAGGAAACAGCGTAGTGATTGTCTTATTACAGAAATGGGTGCTCCTGTCACTCATTATAACTCTCGACATTCCAAAACGGACAAAAATGTTAGATTTAATAAAATCTGCAACCACTCTCGAATCATTAGTCCGGGTGGCATTCGCCTCCACCCATTTGGAAACATAATCGACAGCAAGGAGAATATATAAGAAATTAAAAGACGAGGGAAAGGGACCCATGAAATCTATATTCCAAACATCGAAAATCTCAACAAACAATATGGGAGTTTGACTCATTTGGTCTCTACGAGAGATATTCCCTACCCTTTGACACTTATCACAAGATTTGCAGAACACATATGCATCCTTAAAAAGAGTAGGCCAATAAAAACCGCTCTCTGACACCTTACGAACTGTTCGTTTTGGCCCAAAGTGCTCTCACATGCAAATGAATGGCAAAAATTCAAAATAGAATGGAACTCACCGGCACTCACACACCTTCTTATCACTTGATCAGAGCACTGCCTTCACAGGTAGGGGTCATCCCAAATATAATGCTTGGCATCACTCTTCAGCTTATTTCGGTTAGCCTTTGGCCAACCTGCAGGCAATTGATTCGTTACCAAGAAATTTATAATGTCGGCATACCATGGTACAGACGAATCAATGGCTAGCAATTGCTCCTTGAGAAACGACTCTCTTAACGGCAGATCTTCCTTATTCGTGAGCAATCGGCTCAAATGGTCAGCCATTAAATTCTCGGCTCCATTCTTATCCTTGATCTCTAAATCGAACTCCTGCAGGAGCAGGATCCACCTAATGAGCCTCGATTTTGCATCCTTCTTCGCCAGCAGGTACCTCAAAGATTCACTAGTGAAGTCGAAGGGCACGTCTTTCTGTAGCAACTTGAACAGGGGTGCTCCTATCTTTGAAAAGTCTTTGATAAACCTCCTGTAAAATCCTGCATGGGCCAAAAAAGAACGTACTTTCCGTACATATACGGGGTAAGATAGAGCAGAAATAAGGTCTATTTTAGCTTTATCTACCTCTATTCCCTTAGCCAACACGATGTGCCCTAAGACAATACCATGTTCGACCATGAAGTGACACTTCTCCCAGTTAAGAACCAAATTCGTTTCTATGCACCTTTTCAGAATTAAAGCTAGATTATCAAGGCATTCCTCAAAACTATCCCCGTATACGCTAAAATCATCCATGAATATCTCGATTATCTTTTCTACATATTCTGAGAAAATACTTACCATGCACCTTTGAAAAATTGCTGGAGCATTGCAAAGACTGAAAGACATCCTACGGTAAGCAAACGTACGAAATGGGCAGGTGAATGTGGTCTTTTCCTGGTCCTCTAGTGCTATCGCGATCTGGAAACACCCTGAAAAATCATTCAAAAAGTAATAGTAAACACGACCAACCAATCTTTCTATCATTTGGTCAATAAAAGGGAGAGGAAAATGGTCCTTTTTTGTCACGAAATTTAGTCTCCGGTAGTCAATGAACTGACATCAGCCAGTAGCTTTCGTAACCGGGACTATATCACCCTCCTGATTCTCCTCTACGGTCACCCCTGCCTTTTTCGGGACCACTTGAACGGGGCTCACCCAAGGACTGTCCGAGAGAGCGAAGATGGTCCCCACCTCCAGGAGTTTGAGTATTTCTTTTTTCACAACCTCCAGCATTAACGGGTTTAACCTCCGTTGTGCCTGCCTCACCGGCTTTGCATCGTTCTAGAGTCTTATCCAGTGCATGCACATCGAAGGGTTTATCCCTTTGATATCTGTTATGCTCCACCCGATTGCATCTTTATGATCTCTAATGAGTCGCACCAGTCTTTCCTCTTGACTTGGAGACAGGTAAGCAGAGATGATCACCGGAAGTGTTTCTCGGTCTCCCAGGAATGCATACTTCAAATGCTTCGGGAGAGGTTTGAGATTTAACTCTGGTGCCTGCACCACCGATGGCAATAATCTTGTATGAGTTTCTGGCACAAAAAGGGAAGTGAGCTTATACCTTGGATGAGTGGTTGGAAGTGAATGTAGAGCTTCAATTGCTTGATGCAACTCATCCCTCATGTCCACATCAGGGGTCACTCCCAACTCGAGATGCCTTGTCAGGGCCACTTCCAATGCGTCTTTACCATCGAACTTGAAAGTTTCCTGTACAAGAGACTCAATAACACTCAAAGAAAAGACTGAGTTAGAGCCCTCTGGATATTTCATCCCCTCAAAAATATTGAAATGTGCCCTTTCATCATCAAATTTCATTGATAAAGTACCCTCATTCACATCTATCTTAGTCCTGGCAGTGCTAAGAAACGGTCTACCTAACAAGATAGGCGAGGGATTTAACGACTTTTCATCTCCCATGTCCAGGATATAAAAATCTGCAGGAAAGACTAATTCATTTACCTGAACCAAGACATCCTCAACTAACCCCTCAGGGTAGGCATTAGTGCGGTCGGTTAGTTGGATTATGATGGTCGTTTCTTTTAGGGGTCCTAGATTTAGAGACGTATAAATAGTTTTTGGCATCACGTTAATTGACGCCCCTAAATCCAACATGGCCTTCCTGATCGGTGTATTTCCTATTTTACAAGGGATCGTGAGCATACCTGGATCCCTACATTTGGGTGGGAGCTTTCGTTGGAGTATGGCTGATACGTTTTCTCCCACCGCTACTCTTTCATCCCCTCTCAACTTTCTCTTATGGGTGCACAAGTCCTTGAGAAATTTTGCATACTTCGGTACTTGCTTGATTGTTTCCAACAATGGGATGTTGATCTCCACCTTTCTGAATACGTCCAGGATCTCTTTCTCCTTTTCTGCCTTCTTCGTTCTCTCTAACCTGTATGGGAAAGGGGGTAAATTTGATTTAATGGGCACAAATGGAGTAAGAGTTACCTCAGGGTTGCCACGGATGCGTCCTTCTTCTTCCATCTCCTTTTCGATCTCATCTTCACTCTTACTTTGCAGGTTCGTGGCCTTAGGCCCCTCCACCTCTTTACCACTCCTTAATGTCATGGCACTTACATTTCTGGGATTTGCCTCAGATTGCGATGACAATTTTTTATAGACGTGGGACTCCAGGCGATTAATGGCAGTTGCCATTTGACTCATTCAAGTCTCCATGTCTTTCATGCCTGCTTTGGTATCGTATTAGAACTGAGTGGTACTCGTGACTAAGGACCTAGTCTCTTGCTGGAGTTGAGCAGTAGTCGTGACTAAGGTTCTAGTCTCTTGCTGGAGCTGAGTGGTGGTCGTGGCCAAACTCTTGACAATTTCCTCCAAAGAACTTCCTGAACTGGAGGACGAGGGTTGAGACTTTGTTTCCACGGTTGTTGGAATCCTGGTGAACGATTAGAAAATGAATTCTGTGGCTTATTACCATAACTGAAATTGGGGTGGTCTCACCAACCCGGATTGTATGTGTTGGAGTATGGATCGTACTGTCTACGAGGCGCGGGCACGCCTCCAGCCATGTTCACTTGTTCAGCCCCATTCTCTTGCAACATAGGACATGAGTCAGTGGGATGACCCATATTTGCGTAAATTTCACAAGCCTTTGCTTGATGCATGTTTCCCACGGCTAATTGTCGAACAAAAATGTCAGCTCCGATATCTGCTGCTGAATGGACGACGTCTCTACCTCGTTGACCCTACGGGCAGGGTTACTCTCACGGAAGCCAAACTGCTGAGAATTTTCTACCATAACTTCAATGAGCGGCCATGCTTCCCTCGGGGTCTTATTTGCCAATGCGCCTCAGCTCGCAGCATCAATGATACTCCTGTCGGACGACTAGAGTCCCTCATAGAAATATTGGATCAATAGTTGTTCACTAATTTGATGCTGTGGGCATCTAGTGCACAACTTATTGAACCTCTTCTAATAGTCATATAGAGATTCTCCAGGATACTGTTTAATGCTGCATATCTCCTTTCTCAGACTTGTAGCCCAGGATGCAGGGAAGAATTTTTTAAAAATTTCTTTTTAAGTTGGACCCATGTGGTGATACTACCTGCAGGTAGGTAATACAACCAATCCTTCGCTGCATCCTTGAGGGAGAAAGAGAAGGCCCTGAGTTTGATCTGCTCCTCAGCAATTCCTGGAGGCTTCATGCTGGAGCATACCACATCAAATTCTTGGATGTGTTTATGGGGTTCTTCACCTGAGAGGCCATGGAACGTGGGTAGGAGGTGAATTAATCCTGACTTCAATTTGAAGGAGGTATTCTTAGCTAGAGTTGGAAATGTGATGCACAACAGCTGTTGGGGCAATTCCGGAATAGCCAGCTCCCTTAGTGTTCTTGCATTTGCCATAGAGATGTCTTCTTGGCCTGGGTCACTTAAATTTTCACAACTCAAATTTGTTGACTCAACCTCAGGATCCAATGCTAGATTGCTAGATTGCTCCTCCCTGAACTGTCTAGTTTCTTTCCTAGTTTGGTGCGCAATCTTCTCTACTTCTGGGTCAAAAATCAGTTCACCTGTACGAAAAGAACAAGACATAAACTAGAAAAAAATGTCAGACAAATCTCAAAAAAATAACTTAGAAAGAAACAAAATTAACCAGAACACTGCTCCCCGGCAACAGCGCCAAAAATTGACAGGTGCCGAACCTGTGCAATAATAATTATTAAAAAGTCCTAATTACCACTACAATTAATTGTAGAGCAAATCCAAGTACTGGAGCAGGGACCCTAGGTATGCAATGGGTTACTTGATTCACCCTATTCCCGAAGAGTTTGCTTGATCCGATATACCAGATTTGTCTATAAAAGTATTAATTTTGCGTACAATGACAAGTAGCGCCGATTTCACAGGGAACTGGTAGGAAGTTGTTTCTTTCCAAGTCAATAGAATAAAATTGGAGGATGATTAATAGGATGAAAATAAAATAAAATAAAATAACTAGAATTCCAAAGATAATTCCACAAGTACGATTCACTAAAAATAACAATTAATAAAATTCTACCCGAAAGATCAACTGCTCAGACACGGTCCAATTAAATAATCATCGATACAAAGATATTTCATTCATCCGTCACTAGATTAGTTATAGCTATCAACAAGTTCTGACAACCAATTCTTCCTTACTTTTTCGACAGTCAAGGTACGACCATTGACTGTTTCTCTAACCAGAAAATAACCCTAGGTACGACCGTAGGAGTTTAATTATCCAGTTGCATTAAAACTAGAAAAAACCCAACCCTAACCAATAAACACACTATGAGGGTTTATTTAAATTAGATCTTACGTTTCCCTAACATAAAGCCAATTATGGTGGTTGTCACTAGTTGTCAACTAAACGAACAATTACGGATTCAATTTAATTAATGTGACAGTAGGCTATTAAATTAAATCAAATACCCGGCCGTTGATATTCAATTAATAAAATACCCATGAACAATTAATTCAGGAAATGCATGAATAGCAGCAAATTGGAAGAAATAATGAAGATTTGATTAGATCTCACAGATATTATGGACCGCGCCTTCGCGTCGACCTTTCGGTAGAGGAGAAAATTAGCCGCTACTCATCATGTCAAGCTCGCGTGATTTGATTAATATCATCCACACAATTGCCCAGAAATTAATTGCCGAGGAATTGGGGAAGGTGAATTAATCGAAATAACAACAAAGAGAAACCTGGCTTCGTCTTCGTATTGGAGCCGCAATTACAAAGCAAAAGGCTCACGAAGAATTGTCCAGAGCAAGAGTTAAAAGTCGAAAAGGGAAAAGAAAAACTAAGGCTAAGGTATCAATTGGACATGAATCTGGCTTTCTGATTGTTGCCCCCAAGAAAGCAAACGTCTGACACTCAAGAAAAGAAAAGCCAAAGCTGATCCTAATTTAATTGCTTAAGACGTCCCTGTCGCTCTGCTCTTTTTTTTTTCTATTTGTAGCGCCACCCTTTGAAAACATTCTAGGAGCAGGGCTTTGTCTAAGGGCTCTGATCCCATGCATCTAGTCCACGTGGACCCAACCCCCTAGTTGCTCACTTTTTGCTGCTGTCAATCTCGCAGGGCCGGCTTTTAGGTGTAACTCTTCAGTTTCTGGCGTGGGCACGCCATGAAATAGAGAGTCTTCTGGAAATTTGCCTCGTGAAAGCACTTTTTACACCAATCACCTACAATTCATACAAATATGAAATATGAGCAAAACCTCAATATTTAGCACATTAAGTAGCCAAAATAGGACAAAATAACAGTGCAAAATATGCCAAATAATTGCTCTATCGAGTACCAACCAGTGCTGCAGTTGCATATGCATTAGATTTTAGCCTTTCATCCAGGGCTGTGCGCCTTGAGCAAGAAAAGCTGGCAGCTACCTAGTAGTATAGATTGAATAACAACAATTAGGGAAAAAGATGCGCTGAATTTGATATCGGAAGTTTTCAGATATGGGAGACAAGCGTGTGTCATCTAAGATAGAAGTGATATAATTTGAAAAGCACAATTTAGACAAGTCTAAACGGATTCTTCATAATACCCGAGTTCTAGACACCAAAATATCAGGATGAACAATTAAAAAATTCTTCTCAAGATTGACATCACACTTTTCCTCGTAATCAAATTCACCAACGATGTGAATGGTATCTCCAGGTGCAACAACACTATAAAACCTGAAAAAAAAGAATAGATATAACAACTAAATAACACAAAGATTTCACTCACAGATATTCGCCATTTGGAATCCAATACCAAAGGAGCAAATAGGGGGTGGTTCAAATATTTGATGAACAGGACCACTGGATGAGAAATACAAGTAACAGAATTGATTTTATATGGAAACTACATTAACGTGATCATCAATTCTAATTGAAAATCAAAAAGCGCATCCGATTTTCATTGCTTCCAGATTGAGAAAATATGGAGTTGAACTTCTTATATTAACAGTAAAGTTCACCTTGCAACTATTGAAGATTAAGAATGTATGTTGCTAGAGATACGAAAAATATAGTGCTACTCAGGAGAATACTCCTCATGTAGCAGTTTGTTCATTTTACTTCCTATTGACCAGTCAAAAAATTTTATGGACACCTATATCAGTCATGAGTGGGATAAATGATTATAAGTATGAAAGCCTAAACTTATTGAGACTAGCCAATAGTCTACCAGAACTTGTTACTATCTCATAAAGGCTAAGACTCTAATAGCAAAGGCACTTTGCCTGAACAAGACATATGTAAGCTCAAGAGTTTCCAACTCCATCTTTTGAGATGGTGTCGGATAAGTCATGATGTGCTGAAAATTAAGACATTTTACAGAAAAGACTATGTATAAGACAGTAGATTAAGTGAATGTAAAGAGAAGGCTCTTTTTTTTTTCAACAAACGATAATAACTTTATAAATATTAACACTTGATACTACAAGGATTACTTACAAAAGGGGTAATAGCCCTTTCATCTAATCTATTTGCCTCTATCAACCAACTTGGTAAGTGACTTTCCTAATCTATGTCATTAACTAGCTTTGATGCAAAAAGTGCTAGCCTATGACTTGCTGTATTAACAGTTCTTGGCTCCCAAGAAATTGTGCAATAGTCAAAATCTAATGTTAGATCCTCAATGTCTTCCAAGATGGTTGCTAGGATTCCATCTTGTACATTGTTGCCTTCGATGTAGTCTGTGGCCATCTTACAATCTGATAGGATGGCTATCTTCCTCCAGCTTGCTTCATGTACCATTTGGAGAGCTAATCTAATAGTTAGTGTTTCCTCCATTAGAGCTTCACCCTTCTTTCGTTCTACTACTCCCTTTGCTCTTAAAATCTCGCCTGTCCAATGTCGTGCCACTATTCCTTTTCCTGTTCTGATCATCCTTGCATTGAGTGCAGCATCTGTACTGATTCAGATGACTCCTCCTACTGCTAGTACCTTCACCTGCTCCTCCTGTCTCACACTCTTTTATTCACTTTGTTCACCCCCTCCTGCTGCCGCGCCTCCTCATACTCCAGCCATTCTTGATGTGCTCTCAGAAGTATTTCCTGCGCTTCACTCCTTTGTTGTTCAAAAACCCCCTTGTTTCTTGCTTTCCAAATGTGCCATAGCATGTTTGTTGTCAAATTTATATGCTCCGTCCAATGATCCTTTGATCCTATCCTAGCAACCGCCTCCTACCATCTCCACAAATTACATTGCAAGTTTCTCAGCTCCTCCCATCTAACTGGTGCTAATTTCCACACTATTTGGGCTCTTGGGCAAGTGAAGAGCATGTGTTCAACTGTTTCTACTTCATCCTCACAAATTGTACAGATCTTATCCCATCTTCCAGTTCTATTATAGATGGCTTCTTTCACAGCAACTCCATCCTGCAAACACTTCCAGATGAAGTGTTTGATTTTGTGCTTTAGATTCAGATTCCAAAGTTGTTTCTAAACACTATGTTTCCTTATTTCCCAGCTCATTTCCTCCCCCAACTTTTGTCTTTTTTTGATTTTACTACCATCCTGCATAACCTGTCTTGACTGTATAGACTCCAGATTTTGCAAAATTCCAAAAAAATTTATCTGGTCCTTTAAACATACTAAGAGGCATGCTAGTGATTTGCTCTCTATCTGCTTGATTAAAAACTTTCTACAGTATCTCCACATTCCATCTTCCTTCTCGTATTAGCTGGCTGACTGTTTGTAATTAGCAATTCATGGGACATGTAGTTGAAATTCGTCCTGTCTCTAATCCTATCACCCATCTGTCATTCCATATGTTCACCTGTGTTCTATCCCCCACTCTCTTCCATAATCCTTCTTCCAAAAAACTTCATGCACTACGTATGCTTTTCCAAGACCAAAAGGCTGGTTATCCAAGGATTTATGATCTTTTAAATACTTCCCTCTTATCACTTTACTCATAAGCTGATTTGGATAGCAAATGATTCTCCAAAGTTGCTTAGCAAGTAAAGCTTTATGAAAAGCTTCCAAATCCCTAAATCCCAGCCCATCTTTTCCTTTGACATCAGCTAGCTTCTTCCAGCTAATCCAGTGAAGTTTCTTTTCCTGCTCATTACTGTCCCACCAGAAATTTGCTATACTCTTGCAAATGTCCACACACAGTCCTTTTGGCAGTTTGAAACAAGCCATTGCATAGTTTGGTATCGCTAGTATCACTGATTTGATAAGCATTTCTTTCCCAGCCATGCTCAACATTTTAGTTGTCCAACCTTTCAGCTTTTTGGTGACTGCACTTTTGATATAACCAAACACTTGACTCTTTGTCCTTCCTATCGCCATTGGTAGCCCCAGGTATTTTCCAACATTCAAGTGAAGGAGATTTTAAAGAGATATTCAATGGCTTCAGGACAGTTAGTGAATTTTGAGAAATCAGCAGTGTACTATAGTAGGAACACCCCAACGACAAGTAGAGTAGCCATCTATGAAAAGCTGGGGAACTTAAAGGAGGCAACCAATGGAAAATACCTGAGACTACCAATGGCGATAGGAAGGACAAAGAACCAAGTGTTTGGTTATATCAAAAGTGCAGTCACCAAAAAGCTGAAAGGTTGGACAACTAAAATGTTGAGCCTGGTTGGGAAAGAAGTGCTTATCAAATCAATGATACTAGCGATAACAAACTATGCAATGGCTTGTTTCAAACTGCCAAAAGGACTGTGTGTGGACATTTACAAGAGTATAGCATATTTCTGGTGGGGCAGTAACGAGCAGGAAAAGAAACTTCACTGGATTAGCTGGAAGAAGCTAGCTAATGTCAAAGGAAAAGAGGGGCTGGGATTTAGGGATTTGGAAACTTTTAATAAAGCTTTACTTGCTAAGCAACTTTGGAGAATCATTTGCTATCCAAATCTGCTTATGAATAAAGCGATAAGAGGCAAGTATTTAAAAGGTCATAAATCCTTGGATAACCAGTCTCTTACCTCAGCCTTTTGGCCTTGGAAAAGCATACATAGTGCATGGAGCGTCTTGGAAGAAGGATTATGGAAGAGAGTGGGGGATAGAACACAGGTGAACATATGGAATGACAGATGGGTGATAGGATCAGAGACAGGACGAATTTCAACTACATGTCCCATGAATTGCCAATTACAAACAGTCAGCCAGCTAATATGAGAAGGAAGATGGAATGTGGAGATACTGCAAAAAGTTTTCAATCAAGCAGATAGAGAGCAAATCACTAGCATGCCTCTAAGTATGTTTAAAACACCACCTAATAAATTTTTCTGGAATTTTGCAAAATTTGGAGTCTATATAGTCAAGACAGGTTATGCAAAGGCTGTGCAGGGTGGCAGTAAAATCAAAAGAAGACAAAAGTTGGGGGAGGAAACGAGCTGGGAAATAAGGAAGCATAGTGTCTGGAAACAACTTTGGAATCTGAATCTAAAGCACAAAATCAAACACTTCATCTGGAAGTGTTTGCAGGATGGAGTTGCTGTGAAAGAAGCCATTTATAATAGAACTGGAAGAGGGGATAAGATCTGTACAATTTGTGGGGATGAAGTAGAAACAGTTGAACACATGCTCTTCACTTGCCCAAGAGCCCAAATAGTGTGAAAATTAGCACCAGTTAGATGGGAGGAGCTGAGAAACTTGCAATATAATTTGTGGAGATGGTAGGAGGCGGTTGCTAGGATAGGATCAAAGGATCATTGGATGGAGCATATAAATTTGATAGCAAACATCCTATGGCACATTTGGAAAGCAAGAAACAAGGGGGTTTTTGAACAACAAAGGAGTGAAGCGCAGGATATAGTTCTGAGAGCATATCAAGAATGGTTGGAGTATGAGGAGGCGCGGCAGCAGGAGGGGATGAACAAAGCGAATAAAAGAGCTGTGAGGCAGGAGGAGCAGGTGAAGGTACTAGCAGTAGGAGGAGTCATCTGAATCAGTACAGATACTGCACTCAATGCAAGGATGATCAGAACAGGAAAAGGAATAGTGGCACGACATTGGACAGGCGAGATTTTAAGAGCAAAGGGAGTAGTAGAACGAAAGAAGGGTGAAGCTCTAATGGAGGAAACACTAACCATTAGATTAGCTCTCCAAATGGTACGTGAAGCAAGCTGGAGGAAGATAGTCATCCTATCAGATTGCAAGATGGCCACAGACTACATCAAAGGCAACAATGTACAAGATGGAATCCTAGCAACCATCTTGGAAGACATTGAGGATCTAACATTAGATTTTGACTATTGCACAATTTCTTGGGTGCCAAGAACGGTTAATACAGCAAGTCATAGGCATGCACTTTTTGCATCAAAGCTAGTTAATGACTAGTAGGATTTGAAATATATAGCACTGTCTGCTCGCGATACCACTGACTATACTCATCGGATGGATATGTAAGATCTTCAGCTACAGTACCGTCTTCCACATGCATATGTCGATCAGTCCACACATCAATATATGCTCCATGTGTAGTTATCCAGTCTTGATTCCCCTTGCCACAATGATCCAGAGAATGTAGTGCTGCTTGATTTTCGGTCAATCTAAGATCAGGCACGAGCTGATGATATCCAAACTATCTCATAACTCGATTCAGAAGATGTGGTTCGACAACTTTCCAACATATAAGATACGTGACAGATCTCCAAATGTTGCGTCCTGCAGTACAATATGCAGGCAGAGAAGCGAGAACATCGTCTGAGGATGGTTGCCATATGAACTGTAAGATAATAATTATTCAATGAAAAACATACAATAAATGAACACAATAATTATCCTCCAGTACATAATTATTTAGAAAATTTGGGCAGCATCTCCCCTATAACTGGACGAAAACTCCCTACCAACCAATTCATTTTGACAAGAACAAGCATAATCTTGTTGCTATACAACCAACATATACAAATTTTAAGCATCCTACTCAGATATAACGGCAAAGAGCAATCACAATGACATCAAATGATAGTTAGTGTACCTCTCGAGCACGTAGGCCTGTCAACTGATCTCGGAATATAGATACAACATGTCTTGCCACTCTATGTACATCAAATTGAACATTCCACCTGCAGAGAATTCTGAATGTTATGTCTTAAAGGAAACAGTTGATTCGTATTAGTATTATACAAATATATTTGATATACATACCAAACTCCATATGGACCAGGATAGTGCTCTAACGGCTTCACTCGATCAGGGCACATTGTTGGTATACGTTCCCACGCCCATAGCTATAATTAAGTTATATTTGAATATGTTAACTGACCATATAATAATTTTATAGTTAAATTTAGACACGTTGAACGAGGGTAATGTACCTGCAGTAAAACTAATGGTCCTGCGATGGTCGATCTAGAGGGAGATGTGGCGCTACACAATGATCGATATAGAGTTGCTAATATCGCACTACCCCAACTATATTGCCCAACAGTTTTCAAATCTCGTAGTAATAGTATATACAGCAGCAGGACTTTATTACCGGATTTATCTGACAATAAATGACCGCCTAATATCAGGAGCAGGTATATGCAGGCCTGCTGTCTACATTGGACATCCGAAGCATCGGATGCCAACTCTGTATCTAATACTCTAGATAAACACCCCAATTTGAGCCGTTGCCCATCAAAATCTGACATCATTGGAGAAAAACCAATCAGCTCCTCACATAAATTCCTCAACTCCTGAAAACTATGAGTTGTATCTATCCCTATAACTGGAGGACCATCTATGGGTAGACCCCACAGGACCTCTACATCCTGTAAGGTAACCGTAGTCTCTCCAACGGGGAGATGAAATGTATGAGTCTCGGGCCGCCATCGCTCCACTAAACTAGTGATCAAAGTATGATCAAGCATCATATATCCACAGTCAAGCACCCCTTCAAAGCTAGCCAATCGAATATAATGCCGAATAGTCTCACAAATAGGTGTATGCTCCCAAAAATCCTTATCACATCATCTGACATCAAACTGATCACCTAGAATGTGCCCGATGTGTAGTACCTGCTAAGATAATATCATACACAAATGGGTCTGGATGCAGGGCTGCCTGTGTAGGAATGTCGGCCATACCAAAAACAATAGCTGCAAGTACATTATGTACTATATAAGGCTACACACATTTGAATAGTAGAATAGGAGTTTCATAATTCATACTAATGCAGCACTTTAGATACAGAGCTATTAAAAATGATACAAAAATATAATGAGTTAAACATTGATCAACAAAATGTATTTCATATAATATACTAATTCCATAATCCAAAAAACCCCAAAAATAGGAGTGCACTGGTTCCTATCTCTAAAACGCCCGACGTCAAGCTTTAAAATTTGGACAATTTCTTCTATTGTGACTCGACTGATGACAATTTGTACATCTTCTTGGTTCCTCTGGGTTTCTCTTATCCATCTCATTCCGAATTCTTCTAACTCGTACCCTTCCCGCCCAACGTGCAACATATTTACTTCTATCTGCCTGTAACTCCCAATCTGGTTGGAGCCAAGTATCCGGATGTGACAAAGGGTTAAACCTTCCTGAATACTTTACCGCCCACCATTTTTTTGTAAATTGGGGATCTACAAGCGCTCCCCGATTATCACCTCCATGCCTGCACACGGCTATCACGTACGAACAGGGAAGTCTGTAGCACTGCCACTTACCACAAGAGCATGTTTTATCAAAATACTTGACCGTTTGTGTATTACCCTCTTTGCCATCCACACGTCGACCAATCACAACTTTGTACACCCCCGATGAGCCATTGACCTCAACAACCCTATGGAGTCCCGCTTTCTGGTTCGAATTCTTAAACCGCCACCATATCTTTGGAGGAAATGGATTACGGCAATGTCTGGCATCCTCTCTTCTGGTTTTAAACAACTCAACTATCTGATGAAATGTCATATCAATACAAGCCTGGATAGGCAAATGACGTGCTCTTCTAAGTACATTATTATAACTTTCGGATATATTGGTTGTAAGAATACCCCAACGGTTCTCACCGTCATGTGTTAGATGTGACAGCCCTACCTTCCCCTAAGGCGAACCAGAGGGGTTAGCGGACTGCCTGCCCAGCTCTCGCCAGGACTAACGGTACAGTTTACGTCAATCTATAACGTTCCGAACATTGCAATGCCCGCAAATAAGCCAAAATCACAAAAAAAAAAAAAACGAAAGTCGTGGCACTCCGAAATCCAACCAAACATTATCCAAACATATATATACATTGGAAATCAGCATTTACAAGCCAAATGGCGTACAAGTTATCTCATAAGATCATACAAGTGCATTTAGGCCAATACAAGCCATCCATTAAGGGAAACCATACACTTAGGGTT